AAGAAGAAAATTTACATTGTGTCTTTTCCCCCACTGTACAAACCTTTATTTCATAAAAATATATCTCTGTACAAAAGAAGTTTTTTGTCTTTTTTTTGTCTTTATTTTTTTGTTAAACTGTAACTCAAGTCCAATGGGCACTGAAAATGATTTCTTGTCCAGCTTTCAATTTTTCATTAAATTTCTCTTTCTCCTCCCGCCTCAAGTTAGTAAAGGAAAACAAGTTTTATTTTTTAAAAAATGAGTCAAGCTTCTGAATGGGGAACTCAAAACTTGCAGGGTTCACCTTGCCCAAAATTGTAGCATTTCAATTTTATACCAGATGATAGTTTTCATATTTTCTATCTCGAACAAGTATAATATTTTAGTCGCAGCTGGAATAAATATTCTTCCCCAAGAAGTGGATTTTAGGGGTGTTTTAAATTGACACTGTGCCTAAGAAAACATGAAACAGAGCAAAAAGAAAAAGGAAAAAAGAAAAACAAAAGAAGAGGATCTGGGATCTGCTTTTCTGAGAAGGCTACACCCCATTACTAACAATTTGAAGTGACCAGGAGCAACCAGTTTGAGAAACCTGACACTGTTGCTTGGTTTAAATAGCATTAAAGATGTATCAGTAGAACTGCAGAGTAAAACAGTTGTGAAGATATCTAAATCTCAGTTCCTGTGGATCACATAGATGTTATGCAACCATTCAAGGCTGGTGAGATTTTTTTATTTTATTTTAAAGTAGCCTTTTGGTTGACAGACTTTGATTTACCCCAGGGGTTGGCAACTTTAAACACTCAAAGAGCCATTTGGACTCATTTCCCACAGAAAAGATAACACCGGGAGCCACAAAGGTCCTAATCAGAAGTCTCCTCTTCAGTTCTGGAGCTGACCGGAAGTCCGGTTCCCCCACCATAGAGTCTCCTCCTAGCGTGGCATACTTTTTCCTCTACTTGTACTAACTTGAAAGCCCTATCAATTATGGAGCCAACCGGAAAACCTGCTCCTTGCCATAGAGTCTCCTTCTGCTTCCCCTCCCTGCCACCAACTGAAAGGTCCTCTCAAAATTGTGGTGCCAACCGGCGACAGAGGGATGAAAGAACCACATGCAGCTCCAGAGCCACAGGTTGCTGACCCCTGATTTACCTGAATGTGGAAACTAGGCATTATCAATCATGTTAATTTTGAAGTCTAGAGATTCAGTGCTGGATGGCTTTGGAAAAGCTCAGGCATTTAAGTGTAAGCAGCCTTCTGTTGATTCTGATCTCAGCAACAGAAACAGATTCTAACCATGAGTCGGTTTCCATTAAGCAACAGGACAGAGTATGGAAGATAGGATGAGTATGCCTCTCACTCAAATACTTTATGCACCTTCCTTTACTTTCCAGAGCAAACAGAGAGCCAACCCAATTTCCATCCAGGGAAAACAGGGCTTGTGAAAAGAAGTGCATTTTTTCTATGATTTCTATTTGGGTGCAAACGCCTTAGCTATTTCTTCAGAGGAAATAGGAACGCCCTTCACTCTTCTAAATGGACCCTAGAATGCACTTTAAAAAGGGGGTTCTATGCTTATTGAGGAACATATCTTTCTGGAAACTAGAATTTGGCCAATGTTCTAATTGCATGGAGTAGTATAAGCTTGAAATGATCTAGGGGAAAAATACATTTTGCAATTCCTATTCCAGAGTTGATATTTGGATATGTATGCTGACATCTAAGATATGAAAGATGGAGTCAGACACATGAAGATTGGAAATACGGGGAGGAGGAAAAGGAGGACGAGGAGGAGGCAGCATATTTGACATTTTTTCTCATGGCCCTTCTTGGAACATCTAGTTGTGTATTAAGTCACCACCACATAGTAGTCACTCCCTTTGTCCTATTCAAAAATCAATCATTGCTGAAAATCACTAACAAGATCAATTGATATCTCTGCCTTGAGCAACTTTCCAGAGTTTTAAGAGGAAACCGTACCAGTCAAAAGAGAACACCTCCGTGTATTTGGGGAAGCTTGTTTGTTTGTTTGTTTGTTTGTTTGTTTTATTTATTTATAGGCCGCCCTTTTCCCTGAGGGGACTCAGGGCGGCTTACAATCAAAAAGGAAGGGGAGTGTAGGACAGTGTAGTTGCGCCCCTTTCTGGATCAGGATGCTCTGTGCACAGTGACTCATGCCCTCATTCTTTCTCTCCTGGACTATTGCAACGCTCTCTACATGGGGCTGCCCTTGAAGAGCACCTGGAAGCTTCAGCTCATCCAGAATGCGGCTGCGCGGGCTATCATGGGGGTACCTAGGTGCTCCCATGTTACACCCCTTTTAGGCGGCCTGCACTGGTTGCCGGCTGTTTTCCGGGTGCGATTCAAGGTACCAATTATGACCTTTAAAGAGCTCCAT